TTTCTATATAATGTATATATTAATATGCCATTGGGCATAGTCCATACACACCTTTTTTTCTAGATCGTAATAAATATTACGTATTGTTATTCATACTTGACAGATGGTAATAAAATAAATGAATTAAAAAAAAAAAAAAATATATATATGTACATAATTAATTTTAATCAATAAAAAAAAACTCAATCAGAGAATATATAATAGTTATTTTAATATAAATTTATCTAAAAATTAGTTATCTACATTATAGTATCTATTACCTTAGTTATCTGACCTGCTTGACTAGACCTGTTCACCAAAAGTAAAGAAACTACTTATAAACTTATATTTTAAGTAATATATTTTAATACTTATTTCTATATTAATATCAATTGTAAAGTAAAAATAAAATTTGATTGACATAGAAAATAACATGACTATATCTATATTCTCATATATTAAAATGAAGTGTAATATTTTTAATTCCATTTAAATGTCATTGATATATTGAATAAATATTAACTAACTATATATTATATATTTTCACGGAAATGAAACGATAAAGTACTGAAATACTATAAAAAAGGGTAGAGCTAGTGTTATCGGTTATATTTTAATTTTACAATTCATATTAATAATTATAATATGATATTATAAATTAATGAATTAAATTATATAAATTAATAATTCATTTTATTTCTAAGTATTCTATACGAACCTTTTATTTAATCCAATGAAATTATTTTTGCAAGGTGGATTGTTTGATATCTTAAGAGAACTTCTCCATTGTTTTTCTGTAGGAGTTACGGATATACTAAGGGCTATTGGTTCGCTAGAATTGTTGTGTGACATGATATATGATGTTACCATTAATATTTGTTTAACTCGATATATGATAGTTTTATCTAAATAAATTATTAAAGCATATAGATATTAAGTATCTTAACCTTTGCATGATTACAGTAATAATATAATAAAAATATTTTAAAAATATTGATTAAATTTATTAAAATTTTTTTTTTGTTAAATGTATTAAATATTTTTTTATAGATAATTTTTTGTTAGATTATATTTTGGAAATTAAAATATTAAATATTAAATGATGTTGAGAATTAAATTATAAGTTTTATAAAAACCGCTTTCCACATAATACTTTTAATTTTTCTTAAATATCTTTAATTCACAATTAATAAATTATAAAAAAATTGTAATAGTGAGGATATCAAAAATTTAAAAAATTAATTTTTAGTGAAATATATTTCTTGAGTTTTGTATGGTCAGTTGTTTTGGATACGCCAAATATTTATTTGCAGTAATTTTTTGACTCATTTGCTGGTTTAAATATTTAATTTAATATTTAATATTAATATATTTTAATATTATATTTAACAAGAATTATTAATGTGATTAATATTATTATTATTAATAATTAATATTATTAATTATTAATAATTATTATTTTATAATTAAAAAAAAAAAATTATAAATATTAAGATTTTATATATTAACTTTTATTTCTGAAATTAAATGATTTTACTTTTGAAATAACGACACTTTTGTTTGTTTTTTAGAAGTATTATTGCTTTTCTTATATTTATTTTATTCATTTTTTGATTATTTCGTTGATTTCATTTTATAAAAAAATGAAAAAAAAAAATTATAAATATCAAGATTTTATATATTAATTTTTATTTCTGAAATTAAATGATTTTACTTTTGAAATAACGACACTTTTGTTTGTTTGTTAGAAATATTAATGTTTTTCTTATTTTTTTTTATTTATTTTTTGATTATTTTATTGATAACAGCATAACACTAATATAATTATATATTAATTCCATTTACGATTGAAGAATATTTGAGACATTGTTTTGTTAATATTCTTTAATTTAAATTTTTTTAGCACTAAATCAAATATAATTTACATGTGATAAAACTAAGTAAATTCACTAGTTAATAGTTTTTTATTTATTATTAATTATATAATTAAAATTAACACATTCTTCTTTATATTGTTTAACTAAAATATATACACTTTCAATTCAGTATATTTTAACAGACCAAAAAAAAAGGATCAAACTTGGCATACCATATATTTATTTTGGTAGTTTTTGGAACTGACCTCTTTACTTTAATTTACTCATTTGCACAAATATATCTTTATCGTTGTTTGTAATTTTAATTAAAATTAAAAGTTTATTTATTTTATTTTAATATTTTTTTGAATGTATTTAAAATGTTGGTTTTTATTAAACAAATGTTCAGCTAACACTACCGGTAAGAAAGTACATCGATGATTGTCTGGCTCAAGTGAAATGTAAATCTTTTTATACATTTGCTCCTGTGAAATATCATAGGTAATTATTAATATTAATTATTATAATTTATGTAGCATGAACTATCTGATGAAATAAATAAACAGGTTACACAATACGTATGAAAAAATCATTATTATATTTGTTTCATTCATAATTAAAATCAGATTTGTTTACACATATTAAATATGTAAGAAGGGAATACTTAAATATGTAAAAATATTTCTTATTGCAGACATACAATTAAGATGACAATATATACAATACTATAAAGCATTTGCACTATTTTGCATATAAATATTATATTTTGCAAGACTTTTTTAAGACGTCTGTGCTAACCGATGCATTAATTAAAAACAGGTGGCTTCAAATAGAAGTATTAAAAAATAGCTAAGAATAATAAATTGATGAAACTTTCCCAGCAAATCATTAAACAATGACACTATGAATCGAATCTATTCTGTGGAGCTATAGTAATCATAATTAATCATCTACATAAAAAAATTTAAAAATTTCAATTATTTACTTTTAATAATTAGTTTTTATTTATTTAATGTAAAAATAAGTATTTTTGAAACTTTTATTTAATTTCTTGACGTATTTATAAATTTTAATGAACATTGGAATTATCATAAAAGTCTGATTAGTGTTGTTTGCTTAGATTTAATTTATAATGTTGCTTATTCATAAATGTTTCTTTGTATAATATTTATTGTTGTTAATGTGTTTTTTCTATAAATTAATTAATTTAAGTCAATTCATATTTAAATGCAATAATTATATAAAAACTTATATGAAACTAATCGTGATTACAAAAACTACTTAATTAAACGTGAAACAAACATGATCATTAATATTATTACTTGACTTTTTGTAAAAGTGTTAATCTATAATATGTCATTATTTGGATTAGTAGAACTCGCTCCATTTCTTGGAGATAATATTATTATGCTTCACGTTTTGAAAAATAATTCGATTTGGTTCTGTTAGTACTTTTATATGAAGAAGTTTTATTTCTTGAAACAATTAAATGCTAATATTTAAATTATATTTTGTAAGTGACTATAAACTCGTGATATACCCTATATACATATTTTTATAAATTATTATATAGTGCTATTTTTCATATTTTGTTGAATTATTGTAATAACATCTCTATTTTTTGTTATAATATAACGTCAGTTATAATAGAAGTGATTATTTTAGTTAATAAAAACTATTGTGTTTGGTAAAGCGGTTTCGAAAAGTACTAAAACAAACATTTTTATTTATTTTTATAATTTATTATTTATATTTAAACAAGTTATATTTTATTAAAATATTATTCCAATATTTCGACTATCTTCGATAGTCATCTTAAGGAAAACTAACAAAATATACAATGTAAAGCATGTATAGCAAAAAAATAAAAAGAAAATCACAATAAATACAATAATTATGTTGAAGCTGTTTTGAGCTAGTGCACTTAAGCACTTATACTCTTTTTTAACTCGAGGTATTTTCAAAACCCCTCTTTACACCTTGACTGGATTATTGTTTATCACTTCATCATTCTAAGCAATAATTGAACTCAGATCTGCATACCTCCCCAAGGAGCGTGTAACCATTATGAGATTTGATAACGCGGTGTTGGTAAGTCTGTCAGTTTTCGCAAATAATTTCAGGGCTCTATCCTTTATGTATTTTTTGATGAGATCAATCTTGATGTCCCTGAGGATGTTATTCGTCCTAATGTACCATGGAACTTTGAAAAATCTTCTCAGAGCCTGGCTTTGTGCAATTTCTAGCTGGTGAATAGTAGTGTTTGAAGCTTTGCTAAACGTTACGCAACCATATAGAAGTGACGAACGAATTATTTGGTTATATATCAGTTTCCTTTTTTTTAGCATTGAGATGTTCATTTCTGAATAGCGGTTGAAGGTGATGAAGAATTTTGGCAAAGCTAATTATTTTCTTTTAACAAAAATACAACAACATAAAAAGAGAATAAAAATTATAAAAAACATTTACAATATCATGTGTTATTTGTTTATAATATTCCTATAAATCTGGACACAGTTGTCCGCATCCGTTTTATAATTTAGTGTCTTGCTATTCTGGATTTTTAGATGATGACTATCGAAGATAGTCGAAATATTGGAATAATATTTTAATAAAATATATCTTATTTAAATATAAGTAATAAATTATAAATTATAAGTGGCCTTTTTAACAATATTTTTTATATTTATTCATTCGTAAATAATTGTTTTGAGACGACAAGTACAAAGGGTTAAAACTCGTGTCTTGCCAAGTTTGGCGCTCAGAGTCAGTGTTCATTAGCCAACTGATCCAATGTTGTACTTGACTAGTATGTTCCATATTGGACTTTTGTTAATTTCCTGTAAAATTTCATTACCAACATATCTTGCTGTGTTATATTAGAATGAAATTATAAACCAGCTGTAGAATAAATGAATTAATTAATTATGAATATATTTTTAATTACTAAATTTCAATACTATTTTTTTTAGAGGAAATAACTTATCTATGAATACTATTGTACTGGCTTATAATATAAATACATATGACATTTAATTTAAAAAAAAATTAATTTCAATGTATATACATATAATTAAATAAACATATTTATAATTAAATAAAATAAATATTTATTTTATATAAATTTAAAAAATAAGTTTAATATAAATGTCTAATAAATTTAAATACAATTACTTGAAAAAGTAGAAAGTGACAGAAAACTTGGAACTTGAACATTGAAAGTTTGTGGAGCCTTGGCTACTCGTGGAAAACACTAATAGTCATCGATTTTAATTTGACAGTATACCCGAAACAGCGCTACTCGTGGAAAAACACGATTACTCATCGATTTTAATTTGACAGATACGAGTTCTAAGCCTAGCTCTTGCAGTTCAAACAAATTATATACGGTCTTTAAACTAATTAAATAAAAATTCAAATATTTCCTAAGACCAAAGTTTCTGAATTGTAAAAACTTTTTTTGGAAGATAAGAAGATAATGGAGATGATATGAAATCTGGACACTCTGACATCATTATCCATATGAATATGTGAAAGACATCAATTAAATTGTGATTTCGCCATTAGACTATCCTAAAGAACAAGATGTAAGAATTGAATGTTCTTAAGTTGCTAAAGTTGATAAAAAATTATAATCACATATCTCAGTTTAATTATAAATAGAAATGTATCAGAAATGAAAATGTTGTATTTCTACTTTTAGTTTCACCAAATAATTTGCAAAAAAGGAATTGTTATTCTATTATAAAAAAATCATAAATACACTTGCTGCATTAAATAATGCTTAGCATAGATGCCACATTGTAATATAAGTTCATCATGTGTTCCTTTTTCTACCACTAGTCCTTTTTTTAAAACATATATCATGTCTGCATCTCGTACTGTTGTTAGACGATGTGCTATAGTAATACAAGTTCTACCATTGCGTGCAGCATCCAAAGCTTCTTGAACCACTTTTTCACTTTCTAAATCTAAAGCAGAAGTGGCTTCATCCAAAATAAGTATTTTTGGATTTCTTAATAAAGCTCTTGCAATGGCAATGCGTTGTTTTTGACCACCAGATAATTGTGTGCCTTTACTACCTAAGGAAGTACTATAATCTTGAGGTAATGAAACAATAAAATTATGTATATTCGCTTTCTTCGCAGCTTCTATTATCTTAGCCATAGGAATAACATCACGGAAGTTATTTCCATAAGCAATATTTTCTGCAATTGTTCGATCGAATAATACAGGTTCTTGTGATACTAGACCTAAACTTGAACGCAAAGTATCCATTGAAAATTCTGTAGTTGGTATACCATTTATATTGACTGAACCACTATTTGGATCATAATAACGAAGTAAAAGTTGTACGCATGTCGATTTACCAGATCCAGTAGGCCCTACCAATGCTATTGTGGTTCCACATTTAATATCTAAGTTAAGATTTTGCAGTATTTGTATGGATTTTCTCGTTGGATATTGAAAGTCGACTTGTTCGTATGTAATGTCACCATCTGTGTTCTGTAACTGAAATAAACTAAATTAATAACAAAACTTTTGAGCCCCAATTATTTAAAAAAACTCACTTCAGTTGTGTGGAATAGTTCATATTCCACATTTTGTAATGTTGTTCCATTTAAAAGGTTTAATAGTCTTCCCGCCGATAGTATAGATGCACTTACATTTGGTGCATACGCTAAAGCATGTCCCAATATCCATGAACCGTATATTAAAGATTCTGATACTCTATAACAGAAATAAAAACTGTATAGTTCTTTGGGTATTTATTCATTAACGTACTTCAGTAATTTCTCATAGTGTATGCTTTCGTCCGCAACTAATAAACCTCCGTAATACAGTGACGCACCATATACCAAAAATAATGACGCCTGTCCTAGTCCAAAAAAGGTTCCTCGAAATTTAAACTTTTCCCGACAAGTTCTATTAACATGATCAATTTGTGCATTATAAAGATGAAGTACATATTTTTCCAAACCTAAACTGGCTACAGTACGTATATTTGAAATCGCTTCCACTGCTATTTGTGAAGCATTTTCAACAGCTAATTTTTCAGATAGTGCATATGATTTCATGAAATATGCCTCAAGGAAGACCGATAAACAAATAATGGGCATGGTGACTAATGACACCAAAGTTAAATTCCATGAAGAAAAGAAAGCTGTTAAAGTGCTTGCAATAAATGCAGATATCGCCTGTACGATTACACTAACTCTGGCGCCACTTACCTAATAAACAAAATAATCAAAGTGGTTTTTTTGTAGCCTAATACTGATGTTGTACTTATGCCTTGAATATTTGAACAATCACCAGCTAATCGTGCACACAATGCACCTACAGAATTTCTTTCACTGTCAAAGTACGACACATTTTGACTGATGATTGTTTTGAAAGCCGTTTTACGTAGTCGGGAAGTCATCTTTACTCCAGCCATGTTAAACATATAATTTTGTGTTAATGTTCCCAATCCCGCAATTAAGCCAACCACAATGAATATATACGAGAATTGGTTAGTTTGCGATTGCACATATTCAGCGTCTTCATCGGACATAATCTGCGTATATGAAAGGATTTTCTCATATATATAGATTTCAAAAAATCTGAAGAACTATATATGTTTACACCGAAAAAGTCTCCAAATAGAATAGCCCAAACTGGACAAATAGCTCCATGTATAATTGCTGCTATACAGCCCGTCAGTAAATAACGCCATTCGGGTGCATTTAGTTTCATTAACTGTTTGAAGGATACTTTGTATTTTTCAACCTCCATTCTTTTCTCATTTGATTTCCCTTAAAATATATGTTGGAATATTTGGAATTTCAATACATTTAATAAATGTCAGTAATATGTTATATTAACATCGACAAAAGTAAACAAAATTTGATACTCAAAGTTCTGTATATTAAACAATATTATTTCAGTATTAATCAACTGAACTCTTAAAACTTCCAGCTTTAGCTTTCATTATATTCTCTGACTTATAGTTATTAAAACCTAAAATAACTATGACAAATTTTTAAAATATAGCTATTGAACTGTTATAAGTTGAAAAATCGGTTTCAATTTCGTATCAGAATTACACTAGTAAAGTAAATTTCCTCCTTTAGGTACGACTATTTTGTTATTAGCTATTGTGTTAAGAGCTATATATGTTAAGAAGCACTGACTTGAAGTCTTAAAAAAAAATTCTGCAAATAAATAAGTTTTCCGTACCCTTTTTTCTATATTCTTTACATAATACCCAAAGGAAAACTGGACTCAAAGAACTAATGAAACCAATGACTATAAGTATATATAAGTATATTAATGAAATTTAATTTATTATAAAATAAACTTACTTTTCTCTTTACACGTGATATTGTCTTCTAGCTTTTCCCCGACATCATCTTCACTTTCAGAATCTTCTTCGGTATTTAAATGGTTTACAGAAATTGATTGAACTATATTACCTTCATTTGAGTCAGCTTCTACTTCTTCCTTCCGTTTAGTTATATTTACAAGTTGGAAGTAAAATCCTTTCTTTTCCATTAGTTCATCATGCGTTCCTTGTTCAGCAATTGTACCATTCTTAATAAATACAATTAGATCGGCACTAGTGATTGTAGATAAACGATGTGATACTACTAATGTGGTGCGACCCTTGCTTGCAGCTTCTAAAGCGTTTTGAACCCGTTTTTCAGATGTCGAATCTAGTGCAGAAGTGGCTTCATCCAAAAGTAAAATTTTTGGATTACGTACTAGAGCACGTGCAATAGCAATACGTTGTTTCTGTCCACCGGACATTTGAGCACCTCGCTCTCCTACCAATGTGTCATAACCATTTGGTAGTTTACTTATAAAATCATGACAATTTGCCATACGTGCAGCTTTCTGTATATCTTCCACACTGGCGGATGGATTACCATATCGTATATTTTCCTCAATGGTAGTAGCAAATAGAACAGGTTCTTGTCCAACCACTCCAATTTGAGAACGAAACCATGCGACATTTAAATCTTTAATATTTATACCATCTACTCTAATTGACCCATTCAGAGGATCATACAAACGCTGCAATAATTGTAATATGGTTGATTTGCCACAACCTGAAGCTCCAACCAATGCAACAGTTTGACCAGCTTTAATGTTTAATGAGAAACCTTTTACAGTTTCTAAATCTTGCCGTGTTGGATAGCGAAAATGAACTCGTTGAAATGAAATATTTCCTTTAATATTTGAAGGAATTATGCCTTTTTCGTCTAGTGAATCAATAGCTGACTTCCGCTCAATAATTGAGAAAATACTTTGTGCAGCACCGTTAGCTGCACTAAAAGTTTCCACATGGGGTGAGGCAAATCCTAAATTTTGTGCACCCATTATTATACCAAAGAGAACAATAACTAAAACAGCTGTCGTGTATTGTCTAATTTCTTCGTGTCGATCCGCAAGTATAAGTTTTACACCATACCACATCGCAATAGCGTCACAAGCGTAAATAATGAACCACATTATGCCTGCACTTATACCAGAATAGAGACCCTTTTTACGTCCTATGATCTCAGCAGGAATAAGTAATTTACTAAATCTTTCAGTTTCTTTATGTTGACCACTAAATGCGAGTACAGTACGAATACCAGAAAATACTTCTTCAGCTATAGCTCCAGCAGCAGAATATGCCTTCAATTCTCTTACGGTAAGAGGACCTTGTATTTTAGCAACCATAACGGTAGATATTATAATAAGTGGACAACAAATAATGACGACCAAAGTCAGTTTCCAGCCATACAAGAAAGAGGCGATAATTCCCGTTATAAAAGTCATAAAAAGAAAAGTAAATATAGCAATTTTCTCTCCCATGCCATCCTTCATCTTCTCCAAATCTCTGTAGAACAACATTCAATATTAATTAAATTTGAAAATAAAGGAGATTAGTTTAATTACTCTGTCATTTTCGTTGCAAAATCATTTCCTGAGTTTGTGTCATACCAAGATATATCTTGACGCAGTATTGCTTCTAAAAAGAGTTTACGTATTCTACTAGTCTATAGAAAAAATTTAAATCGTTGGTTATGGTCTAATTATCAAGTAGGAATAATATAATTATGTTGTAATTTATTATTATTTACCTGTTTTAAGGCAACATGATTTAATAGATCGACGGCAATAGCTAAAAATAGCCATTCTGTCAAAGCACCCACCAAACATCCTATGCCATACGCAAAAGCATCATCTCTAATGGCTTGTAGATTTTCTTCTTTAGTTGCATTTGTTCTTAAGATATTATAAAATTTTGTTTTATATATTTAAATAAATATTTTGCTAAGCAAGTATAGCTTTTCTCAAGTAGTCAACTTACAATTTCGTTCCACCTCCTAAGAATTGCAAGATAAATGTTGGAGAGGATGTACCAATTCTGACTGTTCGATCTATGAGTAATGACGTGAATTCTCCATAAATTACAAACGAATAAGTGGTGCAAATTGAAGCGAGTGAAGCTAATATTAAGCCGATAATTATTAAGAGGCGTTCGAGAGTAGTTGAGTACTTAAACTAGATTTATGAACACAAATTAACTTAACATGAAACTTATGTAAATTAAATTTTTATAAATATTTATAAAAACTACTTGTATAATTATTTAAAGTAGTATCAATTAAGGATTATATCGACCTATTTAATAAATGTTTACACGTATATTGTAAACTACACGTCTTATTAAATATACTATAGTTAATGATAAAGATAGAAGTTCAATTTTTAAAACGTGTGCAGTTTTTCTGAATGAAGTGTATGGTTATTTAATTTAATAACCTTTGTTATAATATAATTAATACTGTTTTAACACGACAAGTTTACTCTCAATTTGCATTTTTATTTGTGTTGTACTCAAGTTATATTTAAAAATATTACCATAATATACTGTGTTAGTCACAATTTCCAGAAGTAAAACATATATGTGGTAAATAAAATAAAAAATGACAATAATCGTATTCATATGTTCAAATTAATTCGGGTGATGACAATTTTTCCATCCTATCTACTTATAGGACAAAGAACATATTTGGTTCAGTAATGTTGTAATTTAATTTATAAATTTTTATTTTATAAAATTTCAACGCTTTCTGTCTTAATTGCATTATTGCCTTACGTATATTATATAATTTTCTAGTATTAATATATTTTATTTCTACCACATATTTCTAAATTTTAGCCTGTTGAGCAACTGGCAAACAAAAACATAGCAGTGCTTTGCCGAGAGCCTGGTCGCACAGGAATTAAGGACAATGAGTTATATCGCAATGGTCGGATCAGACACTCAATTCTGTGAACCAAATCCTTATTATGTTTTATTAGATACCACAATAAAAATGGGTTATAATCGAAAGTAGACGATACCAGCACGATACTACTGGTATTCCCAGCCTGGTGCATCTCTTTAATTACTATAGGTTGTTCTTCTTCAGCAGAGTGGAACAGAAATTGTTCGAGACAATCTGACGAGTTATTATGACCTGGGTTATGATTTTAATACATCATGTTCTCTCTGCTTGCAAGTAGGTGAGCCCTTCAGTCACATTCGTTGTAGTTACACGGCTTTGATTTGACCCGAAAGAGATTGCCTAACAACAAGAGACAAGCATAGATAATCGAAAATGGCCAATATTATCAAAAAAGCTATCAAAAATTGTTTCCTTCTGAGGGATCGACGACGGAACAAATTTTTGTTATCTAACAAATTTTTGACGATCTGGAAATTTTGACAATATCCACGTCTTTTATATAATTATACACTTTAATTGTGTCTATAATCAATTAAAATAAAAAATATCTTTTTCAAGCCACGTAATAGTTTGGACAATTTAGTAAACGAATAATAAGTAAATTATGACCATAAATAAATGCTATAAAATAACAAATAAATTTAACAACTACAATTATTACATAAAGGATAGAGTTCTGAAATTATTTACTAAAACTGACAGGCTTATCAACACCGCGTTATCGAATCTCAGAATGGTAACGCGCTCCATGGGGAGTTATGCGTATCTGAGATCAGTTATTGCTTAGTCTGATAAAGTGATAAACAATAATCCAGTCAACGCGTTGAGAGGGGTTATGAAGAAACCCTGCAGTTAATAGAGTGTAAAAGTGCTCAAGTTCACTGACTTATGTTAACAAGCCTCAACGTAATAATATTACAATGAAACGGAGATCAAAAATCCAATACGATCTATTACTCGTACTCATTATTTTTAGCGAACTAAGACAAGATCTTTAGCAAAACACTTGAAAATGGGAATGAGATGCAATATGATAGACCAGATAGCACATATATGCAGTAAGAATCTTCGAAGAGCAAACTCTCTAGCAGATATTTGTACCAACAAGTAAAAACTGTGAATAGTGAATTCGTCACAATGACGAAATTTCTCTATTATACAGCCAAACATATATCGTAACAGATATTAAATTCTTTAGATTCAAATGGGCAAGACAAATACATAGATCCCATGAGTACGATATCCTTAACGAAATCAAATGACATTTAAGACTCATCTTTAAATCATAGTGTTCTTCAATATGGTATGGCACCTTACAAATTTGCAATTTTTTATATTGAAAGTGACTTAATTTCCAAATTTCTCGAAGTTTCATTATTACTTGAACTAACCCATACCAGAGTACGTTAAAAATGTGCTTTCTATTTAAAGATTTCACCTGTATTTAGTAAGTAATAAAATTAGCATATATTATTCATTTCATTTATTTTTCTTTCTTTTTTTCTGTCGTACAGATATTTGTCCCTTAAAATGTTTACAATGTTTTAAATAAACAGATACGAGATACAGAATACTTCCGAAGATCAATGTCTTTGTTGTAATACTATTCCAATTTTATCTATTAAATATCTAACCTATTATATCTAATATAGATAGTGCATGTGGATTCACACACAGAGGGCGCTGCAGTGTGTTCGCCACAGATCTATATTAGGTATCTAATATTATAGAATCTAGTAAATAAATATCGGACGTAGTCCGAAGCTTTTCCCTCAGTATTCTACGTCCGACTAAAGTAAAGGCAGACTAATGCAATATCTTTATCTCAGATAGACCTAACTTGTTGCAATATTAGCATAAGTTAAAATTTGTTTATAGATGACTTGGAAAAAGCTTTTAATTGATGAGAAAGAACTGTAAACAATTAAATTTGTGAAATAATGACTTCATAACATATATCACAACTTTAAATGGCTTATATGGATATATTGGTAAAGCTACTTATACGTTATCATTATATATTAAATATACTTTATTTCTAGTAAATAGAATCGCCTAATATATTATTTCTAAATAAAAATAAATAAATAAATGATAAATATATTTTTGAATTTATTTTTCTATTTAAAAGCGAAAATGCACGTAAACTAAGCAGACTTGGTAAATTATTTTGATTTTAAATAAAAAATGTTTAAAGCTTCAGTTAAGAATTTATAAACATATTTTGGTAGAATTATTTCCGGTCAAAATTTTCAATCTTCAGAAATGATTAAATTTTTAAATCTAAATTTTAGTAACTTTGGATCACCAGAGTATGTAGGTGTCATAACAAATCAAAATGAAGAGAAAACAATTCACTATATTCTACATAGTCCCATACAATTAATCAATCTACAAGCACATACTCTAAAATATAACACAATTATGGCACTATTTTCTACGAATATTCCATTTGGAGGTTTTGCATATTGTAATCCTCGTAATCTTCTTGCTATCTCGTTGAAAACGTAATTAATATGAAAATTCAGGTGGTGTGCGTGGTGGTGTTGGGATTGGAATTCACAGACTTCTTCCTGTGAGAAAATATTTCGAGAAAACCTTAGTGCAAAGAATGCCATATTAAACTATGGTAAGTACTTAATTTCTATCACAATACTTAACGCAAAGATAACAATTAAAGATAATATTTCTTCACCATTACTATATTAGGGCTGGAATGAAGACTAAACTGAAAAAAATGTTTAAAGAAGACTCAATGCAGAAGATGGCATTCTGTATTATGGGGTATGACTCGACTTCTGATGACATAAATAAAAATGAAAACATTAAACAAGAACAATATTTTCTCACAATCTGGACAGAGGTATTGAGATGCAAAAAGATGATTTCTGGTGATTGTTAAAGTAAAACTAAAAACGCCAATCCAGAGTAAGAAATCTAAACTTTGAATAGTTTTCATTTATAAGTCGGGCAGACTACAATTAAGAACAATTTGGTTCAGAATCAGGACAGTGGAGTTGAAACAGACGGAGTCCGTATTATGATAAGTTTTAGGAGGTTGGATAAAATAGTTATGGTAGTGAAGGCATCTACGAAGAAGCTGTGACTAAATTAAAAATTTTTTTTTTTTGAAAAATGAAATGCATGTTTTATTTTTTCTTTTTTTTTTGAACTAACTTATTAAATCATTACAGCAAACAGTGATTAATTTTTTTATATTCCAGTAATATTGTACTAAGCACTGTGTGGATTGTAAACATTAATTCAACACGATGGTGTAAACGTGAGTTTCAATGAAAAGCCTTAACAATACTATATTTATTAGAAATTGCAAAAAAAAATTTCTAGTAAGACAAAATTAAATATTTAGTAAGATTAAATTAATTAAGAAAATAATAAATTAAAATTAAAAACTTATTGTATATTAAAAGATTATAAAGTCAGTATGGACTTATTGTATTGTCGATAAGTCCATATATATATATATATATATATTGATATAAGTTCAGCACTATATTTCGAAGTGTAGACAATGTTAAAGTGTGATCAAATTACAAATACACGATTTGATATAATAAATTAAACTAATATAGAATATTAATATAGAAGCCTATAATCTTTTATATGTGTGTAGGCTATAAAGACACGTGAAGTGAATAATCCCTGCGACTTCTTCAGTAAGGAGTTAGAACAATAAAAAAGTTCAATACCCTATTTTATCATTCCATATGTAGAAATGAGATAGGAATATGACATATCTCTTTCTATTTTGTTTCCCTCAACGATAACAAAAGTAAACTTTATTTATATTGGATATTGTTATTTTGAAATCTTTAAACCGACTGTTTTTATTTTCTTAGTACCTATATGAATATTTTATTTAAATACTATATACATGACAATTATGTAGATAAACTATCACTCAGTAAGTCTGGAGAAAAACTACTAGAGGTAAACCAAAAACGACTGAATTCATATACTGGAATTATTTTTGTTACATGGGATCAGGCCTGATGAATACTTTGAATGAGGAAGAAATTCGAAGAAAATATTCTATCTCGATTTTTTTCTTTAAACGCGAAAACCTCAGCTATTATTTAAAGCTGATGGTGTGTGCTTACCTTAGCTTCGGAAAATGTGTTTTGTATGATACGTTTTGGTATATAATTAGTTTATATAGTTTATATAGTTTATATATATATTTTTAATATTTATATAATGCAGGTATACTTGTAGATGCTATGTATACAAAATTTATTCAATACTTACCAACTGAAAATATGAAAAGTGTTTCTTTTTCAATGGCTTAGTTGTACTTTTTCCAAGTGTGCTAAAATACAAAATATTAATTTTGTACCAAATTATATAATTAACTAAATTAAAATAAATTTCTAATTGGTTATAAAACCAAATAAATAAAAAAGTTTAATACAATAACTTATAAGAGTAAAATTTTTGAGGTGACAATTGTGTTGTAAAAATAGGAGACTACATTATATGTTATTTGTTCATAAAATAATGATTTCAATATTTATACATTCAATAAAATCTTTTTTGTCCTTGGGGGGATTCCCCAAGGATATAATATACATGTGCTAGCGCTTTTTCCAATTTTCGAAGTTTGAACACAAAAAAGATTTTAGGCAGAGTTATGCTATATCCAAAAAAGACTGTGCTATAACTGGAGGGTGTCAGTTTTTTGGACTTTCACGATTAATATCATATTCATGTAAAGCCATTAATCTACTCGACAAGGGTCGAATTACACTGGAGAATACAGGTTCCTTCGAGTTATTCTCTCCAGATCCATTCTGTTTAGTTAGACTTACGACTGAACGTAATGAATATCCACATTTCGAAAATGATATACTATTCTAGTAGGCATCATGATCCTAATGTCAGAAAGACTGTGGTATATTAGTAATATTACTGTGATAAAAAATGAGGCTCACTTTTTAATTTAAAATACTCTGGATGCCCATTTAATTTGGCCAATTTGTTTTTTTTTTCTTTATTTGAGAGAAAAGTAATTTGAACATAATGAATTAGGTCCAAAAGAAATATTAATATTTTAAAAGTTATAAATTATTTAGCATTATTTTTAGATTGCAGTGTTATATTACGCTTAAGCATAATGATTTTGTTAAAAATTCGATTTCACAGTATGCTTTAATAGCATATACAGCCATAGTCAAAAGTATTTACACAACGAAAGTTTTTGCACATATTGCATAAAAACATGTTTTTATTGTTGTTGTTGGACGTAAGTTGCAAAAAAATTTTTTGTTGTTATTTAGTTTTATTTATGCAGAACTAAATAAAAAAAGAATTGGAAAGATAACTGATAACAATTGACAAAAATATAAGCAACTGCGCTGATGCTTTTTAGTTGTCAAAAGTATTTACACAAATTTTTTTCGCCTCAAAAGTATTTACACAAAACGTTAATTTCATTTTCTTCTCCTTAATTGATAAATTTTTAAAAATTTTTTTTATTTTTATTTAATTAATATAATCAATATTTGGTTACACCACCTTTGGCATCAATAACTGCCCGTAACCTAGCTGGAATTGATCCAATCAAGTTGCGAATCAGTTTGGACCGAATATTCGCTATTTCAATTATGCTATCACTACATTTTGGATTTTTATCAATAGTATTTTGCTGTTTTATTAAGTCCCAATCATATTCAATAACATTAAGATCAGGGCTCTGTGCAGGCTACAAAAAAACAGTAGGATTCAACTCTTTTGAAATTGGATTAAGTCCACATCCTTGATGACATGGTGTAATGTCATGTTGTAGAATCTAGTTATTGATTGGAAAAGGTATATTTTCTGACGTTCAGACATGGTTATTTAAAATACCAATATAACCGGACTGATTTGAGGTGCCATTTTTCGGTACCAAATCTCCAAATGCATTGTATGATAGACATTCCAAAAACAAAACCGTGCCACCTTCAAATCTATTGTGTGGCTGCACTGCTTTATTCTTTTGGCGTTGCCATAAATGCATGGAGTGGATATCAAATGAACCCTAGAATTGAAATCCAGACTTATCTATTCATAACACATTGTAACAAAACTATATAGGTTACTTATAATACTTCAAAACAAATGAGAGAATATTTGATAAGGTCGTTAGAGTAATATTGCCTCTTTTGTGTACCACATATGTATTGATATTAATATTTTTTAACCTGTGATGTAGTGTAGCATCACTAATAATCTTGCCACTCAATTTTTCCGATGATGCTGTTATTTTTACAGGACTTATTGTAGGATTTTCTACGACTACTCGTAATAATCTTCTGCATTCCCTTTGATTCATGGGAGGTTTCCGCCCAGTTCTCTTCAAATTTTTTAAATTTTCGCATATGTACTTGTTTTTAACTAGATTTTACACCGTTTTATATAAAATTTTGAATAACTTTATTAAGTTCGTCGCCGAAATCCCACTCTTATATTAGGTACCAACCTCAGATCGAATTTCAAGTGATAATTCCTTGGTTTTTATCATTTTCCCGAATAATTTCTGAAATTTTGAAATCTCTAAACTTGTGTAGTTTGTGACAAAAGCTAACAACTGCACTTACTTAAACGAAATCCTAAAATAAATGCTAATTAATGTTTTGTGTAAATACTTTTGACGCGAAAAAAATTTGTGTAAATACTTTTGACAACTAAAAAGCATCAGCGCAGTTGCTTATATTTTTGTCAATTGAACAGTTATCTTTCCAATTCTGTTTTTATTAAGTTCTGCATAAATAAAACTAAATGGCAACAAAAAATTTTTTTGCAACTTACGTCCAACAACAACAATAAAAACATGTTTTTATGCAATATGTGCAAAAACTTTCGTTGTGTAAATACTTTTGACTATGGCTGTATATTATATATAAATTATTTTATACTAACCTTTCATTTAATTCTGCAGAATTATTTTTATAAGGCATTATATTAAATTTCTTTTTTAAATTTTAGTACATTATTTCCATATATTATTTCCATATGACACTTTCCATTGGTATACTGTATTTGGGTTGGAGAACGACCTCGTTGATAGGTATTAAAGGTTTATTTGTTGTGATATTTATGATACTTGATATTTTTTAAATCTTATTAAATTAAAAATTTTTAGTGTATAAAATCTATTAAAAAATGTATTTATATATATCGATTGGGTTTTTTAGAGCTCTATTTTGACAAAACACAAAATATCTCTCACATCAATCTTATCCTTTTTATTTTTAAATAAATTTGTTAATAAATCAGTAATTATTTAACAACAAAAATTATTTAAATTACACCTATATTTTCCTTCAATATATTAACACTTTCAGTTTTTGATTTAAGTAAAGGGATGTCTATCTTGTGGATCCGAAATTGAACGTAAATTAATAAAACTTTACTTTATTTATTGTTTAGTAGATTGTTAGTAGATGTGAAATACAATATCATTCAAATTTCTTCTTATCTAGTGCATTTCTAATTATATTACTATATGTATGTTGAAAAATTAATTTATTTTCCTTATAATATTTTCAATATTAGATCACTTAATTTTATTTCAATTATTTTTGTTTATTTTTATATTTTTATTTTAAGATATTTTAAATTTGAACAAATTCAAGTGAAATTGTTAACTTCCGTATATACCAAAATTAGTACAGATTTTAATTAAAAAGTAATTATGGACTTTACATTTATTCTATCACTTTTCATTTAAACAAAAATGAATTGATTAGTTTTCAAAATTTTTTAATCAAAATTAAAGGATATTTTTTTTTAAATTAATTTTTCTCTTAAAATTGATTTAACCGTTCTAAAAATTTTCTTCCAGATTTTCTAACACTCAATCGGAGATTATCTGATTCGAATGAATTTTTAATCTATTTATACCTTTTCTATTATGAAAAATTGTTAGAAATATATTAATATTAATTACTATTATATATAAATTTATTTTATAATGCGAATAATTGAATTTATGCGAATAAATAATTAGAACAGTTTTAGTGGGAAAACAGTTATAATAAAACAATTTGAATTTATTTTTATTATTGTATGAGGATTTGAAGATTTCTATACAAATATTTGTTTTCATAATACAGAGAAAAATTTAAATATAGTATTCCCATTGTTACTTACTACATACAATAAGATATATGAAATTGTACTACAGGAACTGAAAATAATTTTGAACTATATTATTCATAAATTTCATTCACAGATTAATATTATTAATAAATAAAAAATGTTCAATTATAAAGCTATAATAACAGCATATTATAGTTTTATTTTTTGTAAACTAATTTAAAATTGAATAAAATGAAATATACTTTATGTAAAAATAGTAAAGTAGAAAACATATAATAAAAATAGTACAGTTAAAATAGACAAAAGTCTAAATAGATAAGCAAAAATAGAAAAAAAAATATATATAAAATTCATTACATTTAATATCAATTGTTCTGAACTATTCTAGGGAGATATAAGCTTGAATAATATTCCTTATATAAGCCATTAAACAGTAATACTTCATTATTAAGTTTTCATTAAGAGAAAAGCAATAGACTGCGTCAAAGGTCAAATTTGTTGTATTTAGGATTGAGGGGAATATGTTATATATATTGTGCCACATATAGTATTAGTACTATATAAATTTATATATTTTAAAAATCAAAACATTAATATACTCGTATGCTGTGCTTTTAATATTTAATGTTCATCGAAATTAATAATTGGATATACAACACAAATACATATATAAAATAAATCTATATAACGAATATTTACAATAAACAACAAATAATTTTTAAAATATTAACTATATTAGTGACAATGCTTTTGAGAATTAATACAGCATGCCTTGTCCACGGTAGAATTCATCACTGCGCACCAAAGCTTCATAGTGAGTAACTCGAACCTCTCTCCCGCCATACGGTATATACAAGCATCTGTGAGAACACTGTATTCTACCTGGTGTAAGACTCCCACAATAATGAGCTCTACCAACATATAAAGGTTCTCCATTCATAGTACGACCTGCTTCAACTGCACCGGGCGGTACATTGCCATCACCAGATGATACCCAATGATATCTATCGCCCACTAATATTTCATAATTTGATTTGGTAATCTCTTGTCCAGCGTGTGATATATAAGCACAACCACGATTTGGTACACCTTTTCCGGGTAGCATTTCACCACAATGGAATGCACGACAAACTAATAATGTTGATAAATCTGTATCATGACCAGCGTGCACTGCATTGGGAGGTGTATAATTGTAACTAGCTGCAACCCAGAGATCATGAGTTCTAATTGGTGTTGGCGGTGCAACTTGTGCAGGCGTAAAAGTTGGTGGTGGCACATATGAATTTGGTGGTGCAACTTCTGCTGGTGTATAACCAGGTTTTGGTGGTAAGTATGGATCATAAGGTGTGGCTGGTTTAAATTCTGCTGTTGTATAGCCGGGTTTTGATGGTAAATATGGATCATATGATGTAGCTCCTGCAACATTCGCTGGTGTGAAAACAGGTGTTGGTGGTGGTGGTGGTAGTACAGATGGTGCAATAGGTGCATATGGTGGTGGTGGGTCATATGCTGGCACTGGAACAAATGGTACTGATGGCTTTGATTCTAACATGGGTGGATACGGATATGGTTTACTTTCTAATAGTTCAATAAGTGGTGGATTTGCTTTTTCAATTATTGGTTCTGGTGGTGGTGGTGTAGGTAGTGACCAACCTATAGATTTTGTTTCTTCAACTAATATTTCATATGAATTAAGACGTCTTTCTGCTCCACCAAATGGTATGAACAATGCACGATGTACAGAAGAGATCTTACCAACTGTGAGACTGCCTTCATACCAACCGCGTCCAACATAAATCGGTTGTTCTAATGAAGTTTTACCACAAAGCACTGCATTTTCTGGTATCACATGGTCATAACAATGACGCCATGCAAGATTAGTGCCGCATAATATTTCAAAATGATCTTTTGGTACTTCTTCACCTCTCCATGAGACAAATGCTATATGCTTTGATGGCATAACTTTAGCCACTAACATGTCTCCATTGTGAAAAGAGCGACCCACGTAAATAATTGCACCATCAGTGTCGTTGCCACCAGGAACAGCATCCTGAGGAATGCTTGAATATGCAGATGAATGCACCCATTTGTATTCTAAATTAAATAAAAATATTTATTATTGTTGCCTATAATTTATTAAAGTTATTTCTGTTAATAAGTAAGTTTAATTAGTAAATTAGTAATGATTAAGTTGATTAGTAAAAAAATTTTATTTATTTTAAAAAATTTATTTTTATTAATTTCATTATATTTTGATCATTTTGGGTATTAAAGAAAATCTTCATTACATACATTTGCGTTTATTAAAAGTAATATTAATTTATTGTTTGCATAAGTATTCATAAGAATCTACACGAATTTCGCGTCCTCCATAAGGTATGTATAGGCAACGTTGGCTTACAGACACAACTCCAGGTGTAATGCTGCCGTGATGATGACCACGTCCAACATACAATGGTTCACCGCTACGAGAGCGACCAGTGGATACGGCATTAGGTGGAATTGAGTGACCATATGATTTTACCCATGTATAGCCATAACCACAGAGAACCTCAAAGTGTTGTTTATTTACTTCGTATCCACGATAACAAATGTATGCACATCCTTTGCTGGGAATAATTTTAGCTGGTAGCATCTCACCTTCATGCATTGCCCGACCAACATAGATAGTGGCACGATCTGTATCATGTCCAGCAATTACAGCACCTGGTGGTGTGTAGTTTGGTGTAGAAGCTACCCAATTTTCACGACTCTGCTGTACCAACACTTCATAAGTACTCAAGCGAACTTCTTGACCACCAAATGGTATATATAAACAACCATGAGATGGATGAATTTTGCCGACAGTCAAGCTGTTGGCGTGATGTCCTCTGCCAACATAAAGTGGTTCTCCAGTACTTGTGTTACCTGTACGTACAGCGTTTTGAGGTACACTACCACCAAAACAGGGCACCCAACCGTAACCCTCACCAACAAGTATCTCATAATGGGATTTTGTGATTTCTCTACCGCCCCAGGCTACATATGCAGTACCTTTGCTTGGTATAACTTTAGCTGGTAAATTATCACCTTCATGATAGGAGCGACCAACATAAATTGGGGAGCCATCGCAATCATGTCCACCGATAACAGCAAACGGTGGCAATTGTGCATAAGGTGAAGAGTGTACCCAAGTATTGGCTGCAAATAGAGTGAAAAGAAAATATTATATATAAATTTGTATGGATTATATGCGAAATTATTTTATATATATATGTATGTATATAGGTAAGTAACTAAAGGTAACATACACAAAGTATTTTAGTAAAATTAAATGATTGCGAAATAAATTACAGTAGAATTTGAAATGGCATGATCTTATCGTTCTTATCAGAAAAATGCCGATAATTCCATAATATTATTTATCAAACACAAACAGGTTTTTAAAACAATAAATTAAATTTTGTTTTATGGGTGTTAGAAAAATGATGGGCAACGCCACATAATGAATGTTTTGATAATTTTTATGGACATATTTGATAAGATACATATTATATTTTTGACAAAAACAAGTTGATATTTGTGCATTTTGTGCACATCTATTTTATTTCTAATACATTCCATAACCTTAAAATAAATAATTGCTCAGAATGTCTAATCATTTCACCAGAAAAAATATATAAGAATCAAATAAAAATGATGAAAGATAGGTGCAATTCCTGGTGACGTTTACTATTGACTGTTTCCAATGAACTTTTGAAATGGTCGTAGAATTGAATTTTAAAGAATCGACTGATTTTATAGTGGTTATAGTGCCAAATATATAGTCTTTAATGGTTCATCGACATTTATTTAGATAGAAAGAATCAGAATAGTTTTTTTATTATATGTTAAAGCACATATGAAAAAAACTTCATAAAATGAATATTAAAAAATTCTGATTATTAAAATAATAATACTATTTGAATTTCTACATATTGTCATGTGTAGTATATAGTATATGCAATATATGTAATAACTATTAATATATATCATCACACAAATTTTTACACTATTTAATATTATTTTTTCTGTCTGCTTTTATTACTTTTAAAATTACTAATAACTAAATGACTAATCTGAATAAATATAGATTGGGTTAATTAAATAGAATGGATTATCAGAAAAGGTTATCTCAAGAAATAAGGCTTCGTTAAAGCCTTTCGAAATAAGCTGCCAATAGATCACTTGTAATACCAAGAAAATTTATGTGACTAACTATTTAATTACTCATTTATAATAAATTTTACATAAACCTTCTATGTTGGATCTAGCAATCAATTGCTTGAATTAATTAATCTTTTATACTATCAATATATAGGATAGGTGGTTAAAGCAATGAGTAGCAAGAGATAATAGTATTCTGGAGAGCCGTATACAGTGACAGAGAAGGTAAAGAAAAAGTGAAAAATACATCGTTTTATAAAAATATTTGTATTGTTATAAAAAAAAAATTTTAAAATAAGTGTCCACGTCTTGACACTTTCTGTTGCTTTAAATGACAATAAAACATTGTTTATTAAGTATTCCAGTGACTGTAGAAAGATTGATACTTTGGTTCTGCGTATAGACTCTATTAGATTAGTAGCGATGCCAAAAAGAGACTAAGAAATTGGTGTAATGATCATAAATTCTGAAACGTTATAAGTGTATATGGTCATTCATATTCTTTTACAAAAACTATCTTTGATGGTTTTAAGTAGGTGTCAATATTAGAACCGTATAGTCTAATTTTAATAACAGAAATGCTTCAAGCATAGTTTATTTTAAATATGAATTAACAATATTGTTCAGTGTCCAAAAACTCTATCTTCGGAGTGGGAATCAAGAATTCCTAAACAAAAAACTTTCAGACTTTCGTCCGATAGCATGCATTCTGTTGCTTATAGTACTATAAAAAATCTATTATTCTATTTATTTAAATAGATATATATTTATATATACATTAAACCATATTTGTTAGTTACTTTGAATAATTGTCCTTAGACCTAAATGGCAAAACTTATAAGGCACAATAACTGTCACATCTGCTAGATTAAATCGAAAAGCAACTCCAACTTTATGCTCACGCGGGGGAACCACGCCCCATAATGTTAAACGTTATATTAATGTTTCGCTCGTAATTAAAGCTTTTATGGTTTCATATTCAACGAAAAAATTATATGATTAAAGAGGAGAATACAGAAGACAATGACATCGCATAAGTATGTTAATATCAACTGAAAAATGTTTATATTATGATAAATTAGTAAATATTTATTGCGCTATTATTATGAGTAATATACAATATATGATAATAATATAGATAATAAGTAAGTATGAATCGATGACTCATATAATAAAATTGAACTATTATCATACTATATATATATACTTTTTAACAAGTTCTACTAAATACTTTGGAAAGAAGTGTTTTGATTATATTTATGTATTTTCTGAAAACTATTTTAAAGTACATGAAATAATAAATAACTCCATGTGTATGTGTGTGTTCAAGATTAATAAATACGTATATATATATAACACAAATCGCACAATTATAAAAGAACCCCTTATCGGAAATTACCATTATATTTTATTAGGCCAGTTTGTACCGAAGTGGTAATACCTAAAATATTGCAGAATACTTTTTATTATGAAATAATGCTTCTTTTTCGTTACTTAAAACATTTTACTTTAAACTAAATTTAATTTGCAATTTTTTAGGTCCACCGGTAAGATCCTGTCTACACCTCGGCGAACAACTCTAATATCCAAAATTTAAAACTTTTACAAAATAAATTTTATTTCACATAAAATCACTGTTCTAAATCATCCACTATTTTTTTTTTAGTTGCACTATTAATACACAAAATACTTTCTCCGTTACGTTTAATACGAGAACTCTTAGAAATGGTCTTTTAAAATATATATAAGCATAATTCTTACCCATAGTTAATTTGTTTGTTATCACAAGCTTTTTTCGTACAAATGAAATTAATCAAAATAATATATTGTTAAGAAATTTTTTTAAATTATCGAACTAAATATTTTTATTTTATAATTAGCACGTCGTGGTCGATGGTATTTAATATACTGAGTTAATTATGAACAAAAACATTATATTTCAGTAAATAAAAGTTTACGATGTTTCATCGACTATTATTTTTATCAATTCCATGTGTAATCTATTATTATTATTGGTTGAGCCGCACATGTGGAGTGTATGAAGAAGTGCTCTCTCACAGAATTTTGATAATGAAATTAAGCTCTTTAAAGTAGTATTCAACATATAGAAAACTTTGAAAACGAGCAAAAAAAGTACATTTATAAATACTTTATTTAATATTAATAACAGTCGTGTATGTATATATGTATGGAGTTCTGCACTTTTGTTTATTGTTCATTATATCAAATTACTTGTAATTCCCCTACAAGTATTATTAGATACACTTTCACTTATGCATTCTAGATGCAATCTGTATTTGCAAAAGATAAGTGTTCATATATGCGAAAGCTCTGCGTAAATTATATGTATTTGTTTCAGATAATTTTATCTAATTATTTTAAAGTCTAATTATGTGTTATTTTTTAAAAAGCTTTTTTCTTATTCAGACTTGTTTAAGTATAGCAGAAAAGAAGATCAAATTTTATTCAAATTAATATTGCATCTCTGTATTAATCATGAAACTCTAAAACTATTTTTTATAAGACTTTCTTAACGAATAATTGCATGTAACTAACTTAATCTAACCAAATCGGATGAACCTTCGTGTACTCTTTATTTTTTTAACTATGTAAATGATATTAGACTTCTTAGCTATTATATTAATTGTATCTTATAATTGTATAAGTCATATATATATAATCCTATAACTATATAATGTTTCTGCTTGTTATATATAGGAGTTATATGTTTAGTAGGATTCTTTATTTAATTTTGGTTATTTTTTGACTTTATATATAGACAAGACCTTCGTTATATTTCAATGTCAGTGGGCACAGACTACTAGGAATAAAAAATCACATATTTCTTTTTTTTTCATATTATACATAAAAGATTAATGTTATATTCTAATCTATAATAATAAAATATATTCTATATTTCATACATATATTCTATACGCTATAATAATATATATAATAACCTCCAGCAAATACGCCCTATATACATATTTAATACTGCGAACTTTTTATTTAAAGATATACGATGTATGTATTAAGATGTGGAATATCACAGATTGGTTTAAAATATTTGATGATATATAAAACTGTAACATATTGATTGATTCGAATTTTTTCTTGTGGAATACAATACACTACTCCAACCTAATACAATTTTAAAATTTCTAAAATTTTCTAAAATTATTTTTTTTAATATTCAATCCTCTTTTTCGGCAATAACTTTTCATTCAAGTTAACTATTTTTATCGGAATTTATCTTTAAAACAAATAATAGACGTAAGATGAAAATGTGAAATGGAGGAACAACGTGGTGATCTTTATAAAAATCACCCTGCTTTTTTATCTAAATCAGTGATGATTTGTAATTTCATCTTTGAAATAGACCAATTAAGCAGTGATATATGTATATAAATATTTTGAATGCCCCAATTAAACTGCAATCAACTTCAAAGTGCTATAACTTTCGAACTGGTAGCAACACACAACACAGTGTTTATACTTTGTTTTATGGATCAGATCCATAAAAAAGATTTAAAAATCTTTAATAGCATTTGCGTTTCTGTTTGTTGCAAACTATTGTTTATTTTTTCTTTTTATTACTCTCAGTTAATTCATAATTTAGTTTTAAATTGATTAAAATTTAATTTATTTAATTTAAAGTTTAAAAAACCACAAATAATAGTTAATAGAATAGTTATATCTATAACAGTTACATACATACATAGTAATAAATATTTCGGAGAATTAGAACGATTTTCTACTGCAATTGTGATGTCAATATCTATCTCTCTTTAATCCACAACTGACAAAATAACTCGGCCTATTAGACCGATATAGTCCTAATAGTCCTATTAGGTTATTTATAATCAAAGCTACCAGCGCAACACCAACGACCGTACTAAACTCCCACAGTTCAGCATTATAATACGAACATATATATGTAGTTATGTTCATGCCTTTTTATAGCACCTTAATTTATGGCATACAATTAAGGTCTAAAGGTGGATCTAGTGGGAGCATTATCATTCATTCTTAAGCCATGACCAAGCCAGTAAAACTGCTAAATTTTATCTTATATAGTTTATCAATTCGAAACTCGTTATTAAGGAGTACATAACCATTAATCTCCTATAAATTTTTCTCTTCAATGCGTCCTTATCATACAACTCTCGTGCACCATACAGCAGGACATGCATGATAAGAGACTTGTACAATTCCCTACTTAACCCGAAGTCTGATATGTACGCAAGAGTGAATCTCTAATTTAATACTTTAGCCTAACGTCATCTTACATAATTAATCTGATTTCCAAATAAAGAAAGCCTTTCAAGAATTCAAACTTATAGTTGTTATTAGGGAGTGGATCCAAAGACGCTCAAGAGATTTATTTGTTGATGGAGAGAGAAAGTACAATGTTATATTCATATTTACCTCCATATCCATTTGCTTCGCATAATTTTCTAAGTTGGAAAAAGTTACATTGAGGGTGTGAGTGTTTGGACCAATAACATCACTTTACTTAATAAACCAAGAAATATTTCGAAAGAATATTTTCGATCAGTCATGTTGAATATTTGACAATATACGAAATAGCTGTAAAGTTTGCCTCTTAATATCAATTGATTAAGATTTTATTTTTAGATTTTAAATTTTTTCACATATATATATTTTTTCTCTTCCCTTTAGATCTATAAGACATAAACATTTTTTTATAAAATAATAAATTAATTTTATTAACTCTGATGTGTTATATCTACTTTCTTTTTAATATGCAAATATGTCTTTAGATAAATTAAAAACTTACAGATACGTTTAAGGGTTACACTCATATAGTCTTGTAAGAAATATTAGTAAGTAATTAAAATTAATTATATTAACTTAATTTAAGTTGAAGAGCAGATTTCAATTAAGAATAAAATATGAATATGAAATTATTGTGTCAACATTTTTAAATTTATTTTTTTATTTAATGTGTTTTTTTGTGCAAATATGTATATGCAATTTAAATATATATAAATACTGAAAGCTCTAGATAGCAAACAAGTGTTAGTAAATAAAAATAAAATTAACAAATCCATAAGTAAATAAAGTTTTTGTTATTCGTTTGTTAGAGTTTTACACCTGAAAATCGATTTTTATCTTATCAAACCGTTTTGATAAATACCTAAATGAGTCAAGTGCTTCTTAACTATTATGTCAAAGTATTTGGTACTTTTTTTATAATCACTAAGCGCCATATACATATGTATATGTATGTTTATAGATATCTTAAGTACGGCTATATATAAATACTGTTCAATATTTTAATGTTTATGCGAATGAGTGGAGAGTACCAGGTAATGACTCATTCCCAGTCTTGAGAAACAGAAAAGCTGTTATCATACTATGAATTTATCAACTTTATTTATTAACAACAAAACACATATTATCTTTTTTTAAAGCATTTGTTTTTTTTTTAATTAAAATAAATATTTTATAAAACAGTGCTTTCTTTTATAAAAAAAATATATATTAATCTTTGTATGAAAGTGCAGTGAATTCAAGTTGACACACTTGAAAATACATTGACAAATCCTATATGACAAATGTATGAGTATCTATTTATAAATTTTAATTTCTTTTTTAAGTAATGGTAAAAGCTTGAAAAAAAAAGATAAACTAATAATTGCAAAAGTTCCTAGAATTAAGAAACAGGTGCTGGAATGATAAAGTGCATTGTATTTCGGTACATTCTTAGGGCGACTAAAATTGCAAAGTTCTTCCAGAGATAACTTGTAATCATGATAAAATCCACACAAAATAAAAAAAAATTACCCATGTATATTATTAATCAAAGAACAAATGCAAAGTGAAGTAAAGAATGTATAAGAGCTAGTCCATATTCAATTTAAACCATAGGGGTATTCACGATCCCATGTATACCCATGCATATTACCCATGCATATTATTAAAGAACAAATGCAAAGTGAAGTATGGTAAAGAGTGTATAAGAGCTTTTTCATATTTAATTTAAACCATAGGGGTATTCACGATTTGGGTAAACGAGTAACATACTATAATAGTAGTGCAAAGCGCCAATAGCAAACCGTATTTTGAGTACAAGTATTTTACTGTTGGCACTTGATTAGTAAATCTGGATTCAATTTAGATTTACTCGCGATCTGTCAAATTTTGTGCCCCAATCGGGTATTTTTAGAGTAAAATAATATTTTTGTATATGTATTAGTAGTAAATACATATAATGAATCAACTCACATTTTATTTGTCGTCATATAAAATACCAGTTAATTTCAGGGTAATTTTGCTACTCTGGCAAAATATCTAGTGTTATACATTAATCTCAATAGTTATACATTAATCTCAAGAGGGTTAAACAAATTTACTAATCGAAAATGAAAATTGCACTAAAAGTGCAATTCACGGATATTGATATTTTTATTATATGTTATGACTCAATGTATTAATAAGTAAAAGTTTCAGTGCCAAAAATTCAGTTTTTGAACTTTCAGTCGTTGTTGGTTTTGTGGTTGGTGTTGGATGTCTATATATAAATTATCTGTCGTTTTATTATAATAATATATAATATAAACCACGCATTAGTTTAATATGAAATGTGTGACTTTATGGAAAGCCACTTAAATTTTTTTCTTCTTAGTATTAATATTTTTTATTCTTATTCATATTTATATTTTTATATTTTATACTTTGTCAAAGCATCTGTACTTTTTACATATATAATTTTAATGTATTTATATTTTTTAGTTTAATATTGTAATATAATTGCCTTGTCCTTCTTTTT